TTGCAATTGTAAGTTATTATATCACAGTTTATACAGTGATAGTGTCAAAAGCTGGTAACCTTTAACCGATATCCATTCGCAGTGAGATGAAGGCATTTAATTGATTACGTATGTGTGTAAATTACTTTTTGTCTCGTTTGTCTTGTTTTGTTTGGTTTACTTACTTTGCTGGGCAGTTTCTGGGCTCCATAATAGGCACCGGCATTTGCATATGCTAAGGTTATTATTGAGGTTTTGCTTGAAAGCGTCTGAAAGCGTGGTTTGAAAATATAAAATCCTCGATGGCAGTAAAGGATATGATGATCATCACTATTATAATCAAAATCCCCAATAGCAATTAATGACGCTAATAATATCAACAACAACAATGATGATATTGATGATAATGATATTATTAATACCATTTAATTCAGCGAAAATTTTCTCACGCGTCAACACCCATGGTCATCATCGGCGTATTCAAAATGCATCGATAGTATTGTTAACGATTAGGATAAGTGAACAGAAGAAGGGGATGAAGAAGAGAAGGAAAAGGAAAAGGGAAGAAGAAGAGGCCATGCAAAATTAGCTGAGGCTCCGAGCAAGGGATTGGGGGGGGGGAGGTTATTCATATTATTAATGATAATGATTGTAGTAATACTTCTTCTAATAACAATAATGATAATAATGATGATGGTGATGATGACAATAGTATCATCAGCATCTTTATAATTTTCATATATATATATATATATATATATATATATATATATATATATATATATATATATATATATATGCATATATATACATATATATACATATATAAATACATACACACACATATACATATATATATGTGTATATATATATATATATATATATATATATATATATATATATATATATATACTATTATTCATTATCCTTTTTACTATTGTTGCCATTTTCAGCATTATTGTTACCACTTTAATTATTGTTGTTCTTATTGTTATTGTTATTGTTATTATTATTATTATTATTATTATCATGATTATTATTATTATCATTATTATTACAATTAATATTACAGTTGATATTGTTATCTTAATTATTATCATTAATACCATTATTATTATCATTAACGCTATTAGTATTATCATTATTACTATCATTATTATCATATCATTATTATTATTATGAAGATGATTATTACCATTATCATCACTGTTATTATAATCATATGATATGATATATATATATATATATATATATATATATATATATATATATATATATATATATATATATATATATATATATATATATATATATATATATATATATATATATATATATATTGCTATCATCATGATTATTATCATTTTTACTATTATCATTATTATTTTTACTATTATCATTATCATCAATTCTCCTTCCATCTTTAACTACATTTTTCATGGGAATCTGCTCTGAATTTCAATGTAGCATCTAGAGCTTTTGAATGATAAATTTACGTGAAAGTAACCAGGTAGTGAAATCTTTTATGTCAACTTTTTTCTTTCTTTCTACCTGTACACACGTGAGATCGTGATAACATTATGATTAGATTTTTTTATATGTGATTGTCAAAGCTTAGCCTTGTTATGGAGATTACACGCTCCGCTGTTGAAGCTGAATGAAAGCTGAAAACACTGGAAGTCAGACGACATTGTTAACACACACGCGCGCGAACACACATACACACACACACGCGCGCGCGCGCGTATAAATATATATATATATATATATATATATATATATATATATATATATACATATATACATATCTATATATACATGGATATACACATACATATATATACATTTGCGTATATATATACATATATATGTATATATATATAAATATATATATATACATATATATATATATATATATATATATATATATATAGAGAGAGAGAGAGAGAGAGAGAGAGAGAGAGAGAGAGAGAGAGAGAGAGAGAGAGAGAGAGTATGAAACAGACAGACAGAGGAAGAAACAAACGCACATAGGTTACAGATATGGCCATTCATTTCTTCGCAGAAACCATTTATCGAAAACATCTAACCTATTATAACCTAGCTGGCAACTCACCAAGGGACCAGTAAGCGCGAACTAAATTAACCGAAAATATCCAGTTAACCAATAGTCTTAGGGGTATCCACGGCATTGAGAAACTCCTCAAACTATATATTATTTCACCTCTGTAATCATTTGCCATGCACTACACGTAACTGTATCTGCAAAATTATTTCTGCAATCCGTTTTTGCGGCTACTTTTCTCGATGTTTTTAATTCTAAAATAATGCCGCCGGTTAGGTAGGGTTTCCCGCCAAAAAAGCGTTTCCTGTTTAGTCCATATAAGGTGATACACTTAATTTGGAAGGGAGGGAGGGAAGGAGGGAAGGGAAACGGGAGAGTGGGGGAGGGAGAGAGAGAGAGAGAGAGAGAGAGAGAGAGAGAGAGAGAGAGAGAGAGAGAGAGAGAAGGAGAGAGAGAGAGAGAGAGAGAGAGAGAGAGAGAGAGAGAGAGAGAGAGAGAGAGAGAGAGAGAATGAAACACACACACGCATACACACACATGAAATGAGGGAACTGGAGAGAAAAAGGCTAAGTGGATTAAGGCAAGTTAAGTAGTAGTAGTGAAGGTCTTTTATAAAAAAAAAAAAACTTTTTATTATGTTTTTATCGTCCTCCTTTATATATCTATTTATTCATCCACCTCTTTCCCTACTTTCATCTCTCTCTTTCTCTCTTTCTCTTTTTCTTTTTCTTTCTCTTTCTCCCTCGTTCTCTCTCTATCTACCTTGCGCTCGTTATCTATGTCTGCCTGTCTGCATGTCAATCCATCTATAAATATGTCTATCTGCCTGTTTATCAATCTATCTGTCTGTCTGTCTGTTTATATTCACTAATAATGATAATAATAATGATGATGACGATGATAATGATGATGACGATAACAATGACGATGTGCATAAGTGTATGAATGTATGTATATATATCATTCTCTCTCTCTCTCTCTCTCTCTCTCTCTCTCTCTCTCTCTCTCTCTCTCTATATATATATATATATATATATACATTTATATATATATACATGTGTGTGTGTGTATGTGTGTGTGTGTGTGTTTGTGTGTGTGTGTACATATGTGTGTGTGTGTGTGTGTGTGTGTGTGGTGTGTATTTATACATGTGTGTGTGTGTGTGTGTGTGTGTGTGTGTGTGTGTGTGTGTGTGTGTGTGTGTGTGTGTGTGTGTGTGTGTGTGTGTGTGTGTGTGTGTGTGTGTGTGTGCGTATTTATATGTATGTACATATTTGTGTGTATACATATACATACATATATAGATAGATAGATAGATAGATATTTATGTATACATACACATACATAAAAACGTGGACTGTATTACTTTCTGATACAATGAAAATGGTACTCACCCTACCTTCATTGCAGGAGTTTGATGTAGGATGTAATTTGATAAAAAAGGAAAATGCTGGAAACAAACAAGCAAATTTCATTGGTCTACTCTGAGGTGGTGAAATGTATTCTTTTTTTCATGAAAGTAATGTTGAGGAACCACATGGGAAGTTGTAAATAAGCAGTTTAGTCAAGTCAAACATTCAGTCGCCAGTTTCCATGGTGTCCCTCTGGGTAAACTGAACGCTGTCGCCACGCGGTTCGCCTCTCAGCTGATCCTTGTAAACAAACTGTCTGGCTCATCCTCACTGACTTGTCCGAATGGTTACGAATCCGGTGTTTAGACCAATGATGTGCTTATCCAGCATATCTACTAGTAGTATTGCCAATATGCAAAGCAGGTATTCAGCATTAGTACGTGTTTCTGAGATTGAGGATTCTCTCTTCTTTTGATTGGTGCCTTTACTTCCGGCCCTATTTATCTTGCCGAATAAACTGATTTTTTTTCATATATATATATATATATATATATATATATATATATATATATATATATATATATATATATATACATATATATATACATATATATATATATATATACATTATATATATATATACATATATATATATATATATATATATATATATATATATATATATATATATACATATATATATACATATATATATATATATATATATATATATATATATATATATATACATTTATAATATATATACGTACATATATACATATATATATATATATATATATATATATATATATATATATATATATATATATATGTGTGTGTGTGTGTGTGTGTATATATATACATATACATATATTTATACATATATGTACATATATATACACATTTTTTTTCTTTCTAAACTTACTAAACCTTCACTTTATTCATCATTTGCACACATTAGTCATACAACAGTAAACTCCCATTCGTCCAGTAGAAAATGTCACTCATGAAGGATCTCTACAAGGAAGACTACATGAGTTTAACGTCAGAATCTCAAGGTCACGTGTACCACCAGACTATATAAGGGCCTCTTATCCGTATTGCTACTAGTTGCACACCTACGGTTCTCGACTCATCTGGGGATACGGTAAGAGATCCTGAAGCGTCCTTACGTAGAGAAATTGAGATATATACGTGTTTGATATATAGATATGCAAAATCAGAAACATATACATACAAAATATATAAGACACATACATATATATATATACATACAGATATAAGTATAAATACAGATATATAGACATAAACATAGATATGAATAGATAAAAAAAGAACAGGGGAAAAAAATATGTTATTGTCTGCATTGATGTAATGTATTTGTAACCATAATCATTCCGTGTTTCTCGTCCTCTTCCTTAAAGATGAAGCTCACTTACCTGTTGCTGGCTCTGGCCGCTGCCCTCGTGATAGCGGAAGCCAGCCCTCTGAACACTGAAAATGAGGAAGCGGAGAACGAGTTTCACGAAGGCAACGTGGAAATGGAAGAGAATGGGAACGGAGAACAGGAAGAAGCCAACGGGGAGGGAGAGAATAATGGGGAAATGAATGAAGGGGCCGAAGGTAATGATGCTGAAGAAGTAGAAGGCAATGGAGAAATGAATGAAGCTAATGAGGTCGAAGTAAATGAAGCCGAGGCCGGAGAGGCGAATGAAGCCGAAGCCGGAGAAATGAGTGAGGCTAATGAGGCTGGAGAGATGAGCGAAAATGAGGCGTCGGGTGGCGTTGAAGGACGCACTCGGGGGACCAGTGGACAACAGGGTACCTCTCGCTTCCTCGGAGGGTCTCTCGAATCTCTCCTCAACCTTGGACAGTCTGTCGTGGGAGGATTTCTCGGAGGTCTCGGCAACCCCAACTTTGGAGCTGGTCCTGCAAGCCCAGGCTTCGGAGGTAGCCCCATCGGCCCAGGCATCGGAGGAGGCCCCGTCGGCCCAGGATTCGGAGGCAGCCCCGTCGGCCCAGGCATCGGAGGAGCCCCAGTCGGCCCAGGTTTCGGAGGCAGCCCCGTCAGCCCTGGCTTCGGCGGCAGCCCCGTCCAACCAGGCTTCGGAGGAAGGCCCGTCGGCCCAGGATTCGGAGGCAGCCTCATCAACCCAGGCCTTGTAGGAGGATCCGTCAACCCCGGCTTCGGAGGCCTCATCGGCAACCCAGCTACTGGCGGTGCCTGTCGCTTTAGCTGTCGCGCTCCCAACGGCAGGTACGTCTGTTGCAAGCCAGGCAGTTGCCCGCCCGTGCGTCCCACCTGCCCTGAGGTGAGGGACTTTGCTCCGCCTACGCCTTGTTCAAATGACTTCC